TAAAGAAGTATTACTATCAACTGCTATTCACGGTTAGACGGCTGAAACAATTATGCGAACAGAATAAGGAGGATTTAGTGAAAATAGAAAAATATTTCACTGAGACTGGAAATCTTATATGTAGGATTTTTAATTTTAGATGTTATTAAGGATAAATATTCTGGTTTTGCTGCTCTTTTCATTTATATTAGCTGTTCTTCGTTTCTCATCTTCACCTAGACTGTTGAAGAGTAAAAAATCTGCTGTAAAACTGTCGTGTAGTTTGTATATAATCAGTTCATTATGGTTTCCCTTATCGTTCTAAAGCCGTTATTAAACTGCCACTAGTGCCCTAAACCTGAGACTGCAAGTTAGTTTGATGTTATTAAGTAATTTAGCGAAAAGTAAGAAATACGGGTGAAATAAAGAAATTTTTAATTTTTATCCTTCTCCTGACTAAAGTATGATCATTGCGCCCAAAAAGATCTCTAATGACGGTTACTATCACCACTGGGAATTTAGCGCTGTTAACATTGCCAGAAAATAGATCAACATTGAGAAGTTTAGCTTTGGAGGTAGGAAGTTCTGAAAAAGTTTACAAAACTGTTGAAGTCAGTGAAGGAAACAACGTTCAGATCACTATTGCATAATCGACATTACCTGTTATAAAAATTGGCACTGCTACATCCCTGTATCAAAATTACAAGCTAGTTAAGCGATAGAGACTTAGAAGAAATTTTATTGGAAAAGTAGGAGGAACAAGGCATTCAACAAGTACGGTTACACAGATGTAATATCGTGGGGAGAGTAGCAAAAGAAAGGGTGAGGAAAGTTTACAAATTCGTAAAGGCACAGCTGGTGATTGTTACCTAACAGAAATGCTGTTATGTCTTGTGTGGAGATTTTTTCTACGCTTAGCAAAGTTTGTGGATTTTCGTGATTGATATCATGAATTTGATCTTTTTACAAGGAAGCCGTAATATCTTCTTACTATTGTTTCCTATTGCTTGAAACGTTTAGGTCTTTTTCAAATGTCCAGTTTCGTGGCACTTTTGCGATACAAAAAATAAATGCTAATGTGAAAATTAACAGTGTTTTCCAGGAAAGGTGAACTACGTCTTTAATAATACTGCACTTTGCTCAGTTTTTTTATTGCTTGCAGCTACAAATTTGATACATTACACCTAAGCGAGTAAACTGTAAGTATGTATTATTATCTTTTGTCGTTATGATTTACAATGCTTGGAACAATATGTCTAAACCACTTAAAAGTACTAGAACGTGTTGTTTTTTGTCAGAGACCTAACAGTTGACAGTTTTTGTAACTGTGAGTAGATTTTCTTAATAAATGCTTCCAAGAAATGCAGAAAGAAAGCATAGTGATTTACTCTAGGTACACCAGATCGTTTATTTTAGTAAACCATCGTTGATGACTGAAAATATAAATGGGATACGAGAAGATAGATGGTGGAAGAAATGCATACAATAAAACTTGAAAACTATAAAATGAGAACTTCAGCGGCGTCATGGTTGTGAAGCGGATTTTATTTGGTTTTTTCTGCAAGTCGATCTTCAGAAGCCCCAGATCACGTCGACGATTAGTTCAGATTTGTTTGTTTGAGATCGTTTTTTGGTCTGATCTTTTAAAGCAGATGTGCTGGTTGCGCCTCTTCAATCTGTTCAGCGCAGTATAGTTTCTCAAAGACTTGCTGAATATGTTTCTAAAAAATGGCTTTCAGTTAAACTATTTGTTTTTTCAGCTGATTCTATGCCTAAATAATACATAGAGTTTGTATAAATTAGACTGAATTATTTTGTATGTTCCAGTTCTACAGGTATTTTTATATATAAATTAAAATTTATATACCCTGTCTCAGAACAATCCTTCTCCGTTTGCTTGACTTTGCGATATTTTTTCTTAGTGTCCAGTGACTTACATTTCTGTCATTTATTATCGTGCTACTTCAAACCAAATACTTAAGTAAGCTTCAGCAAAGCATTTTTTAGCCATTTGAATGGCCCTTTTGAAAAACCAAAAAAGAAGTTTTTGATTTCTGGACAAGCATACTTTATACAACTTAATAATTATTGTTTTTAGTTTCAGATGAGTACCAATTTGGGCATTCACTTGATTTTAGTTTGGCAGTTTTATCTCTTTAAGTACTTTGTCTTTTACTGCCGTTCAGCTTAATCTGTAGGCTATAATTGTGAACTCGAGTTTTTGATCTAGTTTGCCTGTGCTTGCTCGTGTTCCCTAACCTTCCTGATTGTTCTCGTTTTTAACTAACAAAACAAAAATTAGTGCAGAAAGGTCTCTTTTGCTTCCTAAATGCTTCTTTTACTAGCCCACTATAGATTCTCGTGAAAGTAGAGCACTTACAGGCTTTAGTGACTTAAAACGCCCACGTTTTTTAAACCTACTTTGTAAAACGAGATTGCGCGAATTGACACATCGTAAATATGTACTTCCCACCAAGTTTTTGTTTCAGCATCAACAAAGCTTCAAAGAAGACCCAAAGCACTAGATTACATCTATGAGTAAGTCATTACTATTAACAGAAATAAATGGATATAACGGTAAAAAAACTGTCATAATCAGTATTAAATCTACCTCTCTCATTCTATTTTTGAAAGGTGAAATGAAGAGGCATAGAAATGACTTCATAAAACATATAACCCACTGGAGCGAAAAAACCAGCAACCAAGCGAGAGTGCCGTCAGATAACTGGGGAGTATAACTGGGGAGTTTTCGGATATACTACGTAAAGTATGTTTTGCTGTGCTACAAAGTAACGAACAGATAAAAACGCATGAGAAAAAATGACATTTAATAAAAAACTAAATGAAAAGATACGTCGGTCTAACTCAGAAACACTCAAATATTGCACTTCCATTAATCAACGTGGTTGCATGAAATATAGAAAATATAATAAAAACTGATTATTACACAAAGAATCATACACTTTTGTGCTTGTCGCCTTCTGTCTCTGCACTAAGAATCCAAAGAGTGTAAAGAAGAGCCGTTTTCCATTTTCGCGACTATGCAGCGCGAATCAGGCTACAACCCTCCCAGTGAAGAGTTTTGTGCATTTGGTTCTTTCTTGGAAATCTACTTGGTTTTCTGCTCTAAAATTTTTGAAATTTTCCATAATGTTGTCCGTGGATATCTATTCCCGTGATATGTGAGGAAAGTCGTACTTTTTGACTACATGTGTTAGCGGGGATAGCAGAATAGGTTGGCATTTGTATAACCTTTCTTTTCAAGAAATAAATTAGTTTTAAACTGTTAAGATTCTATGAACGCAGTTTTGTTTTATTTTGAAATTGTCGCCTTATTTCTTTTCAAATTTTCTCTATTTTTCTCACAAATTTCATAGTGAGAATCAGAAGCAAGATGAATACTGTTTTTGCCATTTTCTATAAGCTTTCCTAGTGGCCATCCTTAAAAAGTGAAGCTGCTATGCTGCTGCTCTGCAGGGTTGCAAAGCTCCCAGAACCTCGCTCGTCACTGCTTAATCAAACCATAGTTAAGCATTTTTCAAACTTTTAGAGCATTACTGGTTCCTCTTCAAGGAAAAACTTCGTCACTGCTCTTCACTAAAGTCGTATCCTCCTACAGTCCATAACTAGTTCTACAACTGCTCTCAACTATTTCAAAAAAGGAATAAACGAAAAATATATGCGTAACAGCGTTTCAGTACTAAAATTTTTACCGCTGAACAGGCGGCTATGTTATGGATTGCATAAGTCGCGCTTATTAAAGCATTCTTGAACAGAAAATTTAAGAAGAAATAATGCGACATCTTTAAAATAAAACAAAACTGCGTTCATAGAATTTTACCAGTTTAAAACTTATTTATTTCTTCAAAAAAAAAAAAAAAAA